TGGACGCAACATCCGTCGTAACTAAGACATCTTTCCGACCTGCGTGAAACGCTTAGATGGAACACCATCTTTCCTCCTGATCTGTAAGTGACAATGTTTGTGAGTATTGCACATAATAGAATAAATGACAAAATAAATTCAATACTACAGACTTAATTTATCTATATGATGTTTTTACTCCGTAATGCTAATACAATTTATTAGCAGTCCTAATGCCTTGAAATACAACGTACCGATGCCTCCATGTATTGTAACAGCTTCCAATCCTTTCATCAGCAGATATTCGTGCATAGCATTCACGTCACGTTTCTTCTCCGCGAGTATTAGCACTGGTAGTGCAGTTTTTTAAAGGCATTCAAGGAGACAATTTTTGCATCTTGCTTGATGTATTCAACTTCCTGTATCACGTTCATCGAAACGGCGCCGACACGTCCGACGTTTATCGTTACACGCTTCACCAACACCGAACGGGCGAATTTCTGAATCCTTTTCGGCATGGTAGCAGAGAACAATTGTGTCTGCCTTTGATCCTATAATAAGAAACAAATATTGAATAGTATATATTATTTTAATAATAGTGACTTTTTTTGTGTGAAATTCGCGACGACCAAGGTACAAGGTTGCAATATAATTACCCTAAATGAAAATATTATTCACACGTCCTCCTTAAAGCCTATGTCTATCATACGATCCGCTTCGTCCATGCAAAGGTAACAACGCACACTCAAGATGATCATCTTATGCAACATGTCCATCAGTCGCCCTGGCGTCATCACCATTATGTATATTCCTCTATAAATTATATAGAGCGTAAGTTACAAATTATTATATGAAGTGCTCTGAATAGTTCGTAAACTATACTAACTAATACTAACTTGTTAATTATCGCCAATGACTCTGAAACCGGTATACCTCCAATAGCCAAGCAGCTACGGATCATTTGACAGTCTGCTTACTGTAAGCTGTTGGTGTAGTGCTGAAGTATGTTGTAAGTTTGTTTAGCCAATTCTCTTGAAGGACATATCAAGCCTGTGAACCAAACGATATACGTTTACACTGATCAAATATTATTTCACCTATTGATCTCAAAGAGAGAAATTGAACTTCCTTCTACAGATTTGTCCATCGTCAGTTTTTTTTTAAGTGGGGAAATGCCTACGCACATCTCCGGCTGCAGATACAAAAGCGACCGGAGATAGTGTGGGATTCGCATCCACTAAAACCCCACTGCCCACCGCTCCTTACATGGTGAGTCTCGACATCACTTGACCATATACTGCAAAAAGCAAGTGGACAATAAAGTTGCGGGTTAATATTCATAAGTGTTAGTACCATTAAAGAGAATGTTTGTTGTAGAGCTTACTTGTCTATTCCATGTGTATTAAAGCGGCGACGATATATAATATTTGGATGATTCCATGTCCTCATCTTCGGTACTGCTGTCGTCTGACGATGCTTTCTCCCACAGAGGCATCCTATAACTTTTTAATTTCACTTGGTTAATATTAATTACAAGTGTATCGCTACTGATGTTGCTACATAGATATACGTGAAACGCGGAAGATGGAAGGCCAACATTAAAAAAATTATCCACTTCTAAAAATCGCTTTACAATCAAAGAGTAAGAACCTGTGTCAGCAATTATGTCCACGACAATACAAATCGATCCATCCCGCAAAATGCAACAATTGTCTCGCACATGAGTACCTAGGCATATACTATTAAATGTAATTTTTGAATAATGAACACTAGTGTCGCTATTACTACATGGTATTGAAACACGAACAGACATATCGCGATATCGCGATATCGCGATATCGCGATTATCGCCTCGTCCATGAAGTCGTAACTCTGTCATCCGATTAAACAATTGCTGTAAAGGCTGACCCGGTTTCCTGCAATACTTTCTAAAAATAGATATATTATTTTCATAAGGAAAAGCGGAAAACGATTCTAAATTACCAAGGCGTTTTACGTCATTAGTTAGATGAAGCAGGCCGTGAACATTATAACTAATGAAATTTGAACCATATAAAGTATTATTACGCAATACAAATTTTTCCAGTGCAAGTTCCGCGAACCTCAGCTATTTCTCTGATGGAGATTTTAAAAGCAAGATTCTTATAGCAGTATGTAGAAGCAGGAAGTGCTTATAGAGGTGGTCATCTAATATACCGTACATTACAACTGGTCCTGTATACAGAAGAAACTGGCGAAATTCTGTTGCTTTAAACTTTGAAAAAATATCTAAAGATCTAGAGCGTCTTGCAAATTCAGTAGGACAATATTGTATCAAAATTTTTAAACGATCACTAATTCTTGAAATCGATCTTCCACACAGTTTCAATATCCGTGAGTATTTCCCATGTACCCATGCAGACAATAGTTTTTTTACGACACCTAAGCATACTAAATGCATATACTCGAAGGGGACTTGCGAAACCATTCTCATAGATAAAACTGCTAACGGACTTGTGCCCTCTTTGTGATGATTAACATCATGACACAATCTATAATTTTCATCCGTACGAAGAGGATGTTTGATACCATTAAATACACAGCGACCATCTATCTGCATGCCATGAACTTTGCACTTAGAGCATGAGTGATAAGATGTATGAGCACGATGATGTAAAAGAAAAGCTCGAGCAGGTGCATCAGCTACAAAGGCTCTTAATCTAACTGGTATTAAAGCACCATGAAAATTTATACCTCCATTACAAATAATAGCTGTTATATCAATAATAAATTTTTCAAAAAAAGCATTAGCATTATTAGGTTTTTGTGCACCTTTATATATTCCTACAACGGGTTTTGAATTTTGTAAATTTGATATTCTACACTGAATCGGCCAAATCTGAATTGTACCTGATTTATCTAATGTACATCCATCAGTACTAAAATCGAGTTCTAATTCTCTAATATCAGATGCACATTGAACATTACAAAGATACTCTACAATTGCTACTTCCACATTAAAATGTATTTATTCCCCTGGCTCAACAGTGCATACAACAACACGATGCCTTGGTGTGTTTAGCAAGGTTCATACATCTTTGGGCAAATGAGACAAACAAGTATGTGTTCTTAAAACAGATAATATTCTATTTCCTTGACTATGCGTCAAATTGCAATCAACAAAACTAGAAGCTAAATTCTCAGTAAAGGATGGTTCTGACAAACTGCTAGAACATGAAGACAATGCACAAGAAACATCTGAAGAGATGGAAGATAAATATGATACTCTATCATCCTCTACGTTAGTACTGCTTGTGCTGGCAATATTGTTGTTAATGGAAGGCAAGTTATTTAAACAATTACTTTGCGATACAGCTGAAACATTTTGCAATGCGGAATTATCATTGGACTCTACATTGGTAACGTTATATGTATTTTTTCGTGCATTTTGGATTTTTAAATTACGCCGTACTTCCTTCATAATAATCTTTCTTTGTCTCATTGATAATTTGTGCAACGATTTACGCAAGGTGGATAATTTTAAATATGGCTTCATATTTACGTAACTTTGTTGTTGCAAGTCCAGGTCCAAAATGTAGAACGCTTGAAAATCGTTGAGAAAACTTGTTGAACACCATATTAAATATCACTTGAATATGACAAACTCGTCAAACACAATTCACTCCGAGTTGAACGCGGAATAAACAAATGTGTAACATACTATACTTAAGGCGGGAAGCACACACTCTTGCATAAAGGCATAATGCACAACACATAAGAAAACTGACCAATCAAAGTCCTTCATTTTCATCATGGCAGTAGAAATGAGGATTCTTATTGGTCTGTTTTCTTATGTGTTGTATATTATACCTTTATGCAAGAGTGTGTGCTTCCCGCTTCAACCTGCACATTAAAACTTACGTTTATGCAACTATGGGTGCGTTCCGTTTCACGCATATGCGCGCATTTATCTATAGTTTATGTATACTATAAAACTCACGTATACTATAAAAAATCTGCGCAAAACGGATGCGTGAAACGGAACGCATCCTATTTCAAGAATACAGTGCCAGTACTCGACAGGTAGAGTAACATTCGATCAACCAAACAGGACTACACGAACTAGACACTCTTTATCATGATTGGTTAACTGCATGTTACTCTTAAGCATAGATAGGCATTCGAGCCTCAAGTCCCATATTCTTGAAATTTTAATATACACGCTATTTTTATTGCGTAATTCTTTTATAATATAGACTGTGTTCCAAAATTCACTGCCAGTGATGAAATTCTACAGTTTACGTCGCGCATACTATAGATTTTCCGCACTGGCAGTGAATTTTGGAACACAGCTATAATTAAACCTCGGCTGGGGTTAAAATTCTCATCCGCTCTAGGGCGGAAATTTTCAGTGAAACGAAACGTGCACCCCAATCACAACCATTATATATTGGCTGCATTCCGAAATTCACTGTTAGTACTGAAAATCTATAGTATACGTAACATAAACTATGTATTTTCAGTACTGGCAGTGAATTTCGGAACGCAGCCATTATTCGTGAAAAGAATAGAATGACTGCGATTGGTTCGCGCGTTCCGTTCCGCTAAAAATTTCCGCTCATGAGACATTGTCATAACGGTTATTCCCCTTCAACTGTTCTCTACGTTCTCTTCATGAATTGCGAGAAAAATTTTGTGATTAACGTATAATAACTCAAAACATAAGTTTTTTATATTGCAAGTTCTTTCTTTCTTTCATTTATAGCCTGAGACAGTTCGCTTCTTTGTCCAAAAATTGCAAGTGTGATACAGCAAGATCATCCTTACATACAGTTGATCATCTTCATCATGTCACAAGAAAGGTAAAGGCTCGTCTACAATAGCTGTAAGAATATGGCTGTAAAGCTGTAAGACGCGAAATGAATTATTTCCATTCACTGACAGCTTACGTTACAGCCTTACAATCATACTCTTACAGCTATTGTAGACGAGCCTTAAGAATATTTACTCTACTATCTTTATTGCATGCTCTGAGGATACTCCTAGACATTGACATGTACTCAAAACATCCTTGAACATTCTCGGGATATCTGTGCTGTTAGAAATAAATTCAAAAATTATAAAAAAAGGTTATAATAATAAAAATTTGCTATACCTCTTAAACAAAATTTATTCATATATGCGTTGCTATTGTTTCAGATGTACACAGCGACCAAAACGGATCATAACTAAGCCTCCCCGATACCAGTCAACATCGTCAGATGAACAACCCCAACAGAAGAGACGCTTTGCAGCATCTGCTACAACTGGTACCATCCATGACGACATTGGGGAGATAACAAGAACTCTGGAAGAGGAAGATTTTTAATATACAAACTTTTAATATACAAACACATATTCAACCTACACAACATACACAATCATTCACAAACGTTGATACTCCATATAATACACAAACACGTACATATACACCTAACATACAGACGTACACTCACACCCCATCCATACAAACATGCACAAACATATTACCAACACAAACACATTTTATATTAAATAAAGAAAACGAACAAGTTTTCTACAGCAACAGTTTGCCTCAGTCGCGAACTCCACAACCATTGCAGGAGAGAAGCTTCCAATTTGGGCTAAGTGGTCAGGATGGTGCAATTTTCCCTACGCAGAATACTCAGCATGATAATTTAGAAAAAAGGTTAGTTCATTATCATCAAATATATGCTACATAATTTTAATACATGATAAAATATATAGTTATTAAATATATATTAAATAGATTACTAAAACAAATATGTATTTTTTATTTGAATTTGTGAAAGGAATTAAAAATTATGTGTCTATTACTATTAGAAACTATTTGTAATTGTTGCTTTCATTACAGGAGAACGGAAGCACTTTTGAGTAGAACAACATTATACCGATGTTGTAAATAAAATTAATGTTTTACGTCATACGAAAATTACATACATAATATGCTGCTTGTTTTAGGTCAATTATTTTCATTATATTGGCGGCTTCACTTTAAAAGAAGCAACCAATCTTTGCCTCAAAGAGGCTTTGCACGATTCACTATCGTTGTCGTATACTTAGTTTAGCCGCGACGAAAGACGTCAACCATTATATAAAACTCGGCTTGTTAAGGCCATCTATGATAAGAAATATTTTCAGTCTTCAGAGAGATAGACAGAGAAAAGAGAGAGAGAGAGAGAGAGAGAGAGAGAGAGAGAGAGAGAGAGAGAGAGAGAGAGAGATTAGTATTGCCTTCCAAAAAGAAATGTGCTTTTTTCGCAGATGCTGTATGCAGAAATAGTTATTTTACAAAACCTCAGAAGTCAGAGTTCCAGAAGGAGATGCGGAACTTCTTGCGCGTTATGAAAGATAGGAACCGAATAAGAATGAGTAGACGCCAACGCAATCCCGCCCCACTGGACGTTGAGCATTTGTGGGACGACGAGGAGAAAGAAGACAACGATGATTGACACACCAACAGCTTACAGCAAGCAGACTGTCCAGAGATCCGTAGCTGCTTGGCTGTTGGAGATTTCACAGTCATTAGCGATAATTAAAAAGTTGGTTAGTATTAGTTCGTATAGTCTACAAACTATTCAGAGCACTTCATATAATTTGTAACCTACGCTCTATATAATTTATGCTAAAAAATCTGTATTTTATATTTGTATAAAATAAAATTTATATTGTTTACTCACAAATACCAATTTTATCTTATTCAATAATAACAATTCTAACCTACCGACCAAGGTTATGCACGCCATGCGCGCCATTAAAGCGATTAGTACAACTGTTGCTGCCAATTTGCTGCCAACTTGCGCTCAACTGTTGAGTTCAAGACGCTGCTCCGGTGTTGCCGCCAACTTGTTGCCAACCTATGCGCGCAACGTTTGCGCACTATTTGCTGCAAATTTGCATCAAACCCTTGATGTCAACTGTTGGTGCCAAATCCATAGCCTAAAAGTGTTGCTACATGGCTATGGATTTGACACCAACAGTTGACTTATGTTGGTGCCAATCTGCGCGCAGTCTGCGGTCAATTTGCTTACTGGGAAGTAAAATAAAGTTCACAATAATTACAAAGTTACATACGTAATAGTGGAAAAGAAACTAAGTTACTTTTGTATGGTATTACTACTAATTTTCTTTTTATATAGTTAATATTCCAAAATTTATAAGACTGATTTTCAATTTTTATATATTGAATATCAAATAAAGATGACGAGTATGGTTTGTAATAAAAATTATCTTGTTTGTTATATTTATATCCTATCAAACATACAGAATCTCCACAATGTGCAAAATTTTTTATTTCAATAATTATATTATTTGTTAACTCCACAAATCTGTCAGCTATATTTGAAATATTTAAATAGTAATTATTTGTCTGTACTTTTTTATATTGTGGTGAGTTACAATTATTTATTAAAGGTCCATTGAAATATTCCATTAAAAATTTTATTGAATAATCTTTATTTGCACTGTTAGACAAATGAGAATAATTATAGTCTTCAATTATGCGACGCATAATTTGCTGTAAAGGTTGTGCAGATTTGCGAAGCTTTTTCTTTAATTGCGGCATATAATTTTCGGAAGGAAAAGTACTGAAATTATCAAGGGAGCCATATAATTTTACACAGTCACTTAGATGTAAAAAGTTATATATGTTATGGGATATAAAATCTGGACCATAAATTTTTATCGATTGGCAAATAAAATGTTTCATTAAATCATTTGCATATGATATGTAATTTTCTAATCTCGAATAATATGGACTTATCATTATAGAACTTGCAAGACTTAACGTAATGAAATTGTTATAAACTTTGGGTTAAAGCACATTTTTTAAGACTATGGGACCAGCATATAATAATAAAAATCTAAATTCTGTAGCTTTATATCTTTTACATTCAATTATAGATCGCGTTTTCCTGGAAAACTCGCAAGAAATGTATCTTTTCATTCTTAAAAGGTTATCAGATATTTTAGTTACATTACGAGCTCGTAGTTTATAAAGTGGTTTGCCAAAAATCCATCCATATCGTTTATGGCAAAGCAATCTTTTCATACCACCTAATAAGAGATTATGCATGTAATCTATTGGCACTTTGTCTATCATATTAAAATTTGGGATATGTAATACTAAACTTCTACCAGTATGATGTTCTGGTTGAACAATGGATCTAAACGATATATCAGTCCTCTCGCAAAAACATTCAGTCTCAATAAAACACAATACATTATTAAACATATCACCTTCTTGATCACATTTTGTACGCGAAAAATGGCTTGTATGATTTTTAATTGATAAAACAAATGATTTAGCAGGTGAGCCACAAAGTAACATTAGAACTCGAAAGTTATGTCTGAAAGAATTTATAAATATCCCATTATTCGAAAGATGCACACACTCATTCACAAAATCTCTAAGAAAGTCATTAACAGGTTTTGGTTTTTCTGAACCATGATATAGAGCAACTACCCAGTAAGCAATCTGTGCACAGATTGACGTTAGATTAGCGACAGGATCTGTCGAATGCGCGTAGGATCTGTAGTCAGATGACAGACATCTGTGTGCCCAGATTGCCGACAGACTGCTGGCAGAACCTGCTGACAGATTTTGACAGCAGGTTGTCGTCAGATTGCGCGCAGAACCTGTTGGCAAATTCTGACGGCAAATTGCGCGCAGAGCCTGTCGACAGACACTGACAGCAGGTTGACGGCAGATTGTGCGCAGACTCTGTCGTTTCGTGAGTTATTTAATTAAATGGCATATGCGCGCCTTTAAATGGCCATTTAAACTTATAGTATATATATACCTATATATATCTATTATGTAATTTGAATTTATTTTTGTTTCAATACAAAGTAAATACATAATTTTAAAGTATTTAATGAATATAGAAAATAGAATATGAATATAGAAAGTAGATTTAATAGCTTGCATTTAACATCGCACATTTAAATTTCGTCCGTTTCCGATTCGTTATCTTGGCTGCCATCAGTCCAAAAGTTATAATCCGAGTTCGTTTTTCGGCTTTCCGTACGCGGTGAATGTGACTTGCTGCGAACCCTCTCTTTAGCTGCACGTAAAGCTTCTTGCATATATTTTTTAAAATCATGTTTACTCGGTTTGTCAAAATATTGATTCTTGCGTACAGCATCTGAAAAGAAACACAAAATGCATTATTAATAATCACTAAATATATGAGCATGAAGAAAAAATATATAAAATCTTACCAAATATTACCATTACGATTTTGGTATCGCAATTGTGCCCTTTGTGGCCTCACCACGTGTATGAAAGAGTCAAAGTATCTATCACGCATTCTTTTAATGCTTGATTTATAGCTTCTTTGACATTAAACCCGCCTATGTTATGTACATATTGCACCTATAGAAAACAGATTAGCAATCAAAATAAAAATTAAAAATAATATATAATTAACGTTAATGTTGCAATTAGTGATCGTGTAACATTTTATAACAGTAACACTTTTGTTATACTGTTTTTGTTATAAGTTTCAGAATACGATTTCATATTCATGCTAAGCAATATATTGTTACTATTAATTTTATTAATATCAACTATTGCAACAAGCTCGGAATAAAATCAAAATCTATGAATGTTAATAAAATAGACGTCCGTTAACCTAGCATCTCCATCACAAAAGTATGAATTCGGATATATTGCGTAATTAAGTGCTAATTAGTTGCTGTAGTTCAGAATTTCTTGATGTTGTCCAATCGCTGGAATTTATATTCAAATGTGCTGACTTGACGGCAAGTCTTCACAAGAGTGAAGTACGTTTTATTTCATTTTCATTGACATCTTCAAAAGCTTCCATTTCAGCCTCGGACGATATTGACAAACAGCCTGGTTTTTTACACACTGGATAACTCGTTTGAAAGGACTTCGAAATCGTCTGTAATGCTGAGTATATTTTTCTGCAAAAGAAAAGAAAATGTTTATAATAATCAATATGCAATGAAAATGTCACAATGTACTTATCTATTTTATACACACATACACATATTTATTTATGTTTAAATATTATACTTACTTGATATCAGTTTAAATATTATACTTATTTGATATCAGTTTCTATCCGTTATAGACGGTTGTCCAATTTCCTACAATTATTTATATTGATTTTTTTTATATGATTTATATTGATTTATTTCCTACAATTATTTATATTGATTATATGACTGATGATTGCTTAACATTATTTTGCACATAAGACACTTATTGTTACAATACAATAGTTATGTTATATGTATATTATTATTCTATATATTAATATTTATTTATATAATTATTTATGTATACACATACACACACATACACATATATATATATATATGAACTTACTCATAATTTGTCTGTTCTAAATGTCTGCAGCTTTGTAGCTCTGTGTACATATTCTCTTGTCCATAATTAAGTTGTCGCTGAGTATTGTAACGTGGCAGCTTTGAGCGCCCGTTACGGCGTAAATAATTAAGTGAGATTCGGTAATTGGTGGTGGAACACCCGTGCGAGCGGGGGCCCGCGAATTTGGATGGGCCGCGACGGTCGCGGCAAGGAAGAGATTCGGTAAGACGGCGGGGCACGGCGGCAGGACCGCGCAAGGCTCTCTGGGAGGTCCCGCGAGTGAGGGGGTCTCCGAACCGATGTCCCCGCGTCGGTAGGACGAAGTCGTCCTATTCCATCTGGGAATCTCGAGCGAGCGAGCGATCCAGAAAACGAGCGACGAGAGAACAAGCGAACGAGAGTGTGCGAGCGAACGAGAGAACGAGCGAACGAGTGTGCGAGCGAACGAAAGAACGAGCGAACGAGAGAACGAGCGAACGAGTGGACGAGCGAACAGGCGAGTGAGCGGCGAAGGGACGAGAAGTCCGCAGCCATGGAGCCGGACCAGCAGGAGGAAGCCGCTGCGTAAGCCCACACTACCTGGTTGCCTTTTGCTAGCGTGGCCGGATCTTCCTTCTGGGGATCGCAGCCCGAGACGTTGGTGCCCACCCCCGTGTGGCGGAGGTGACCCTTGGAGGAGCCCGTCGGACGGCGAGGTCATCGACGGCTCGAACCAACGATCTCTTTGTGCGAGCGAAACGATCGGGCGAGCGGAGGCTAACCGTTTCACCCGCTGTGTAGGCTAATTTGTAAATAGAGTGCATGTTGCAAACAGACGAGACCGCGTTAGTAGAAATATCCTATTTTCGGACCCCGCCCACCTCCGACTTAAATCACGGGGAGCTAGTCGGTCCCGCACAGGGCGGGAAGCGGTTATCGTGATCCGACGGGAACTTTGGGTGACTTTGGCGAGGATCCGTGGTACGGCCGCCTCCGTACCTGGCGCAGACAAATTTGGTGATAATTGAGAACGGAATACGGATTGGTCGGATCGGGCCCGCCGTGTCCCGCTACCTGCGGCATTTCCTTGCGACGGAGAATCTTGCGCGGATCTCCTTTGTCGATTAGTGGAAAAGGTCGCAGTATCAATATATGCCGGTTGCTGTCTGCTTGCCTGCGAATGTAGTTTTGAATGCTGTGCCTGTGAGTGCGTGTAAGCTTGTTTATTTTTCTGCAAGTCTGA